TATATATTAAAAAAAGTGAAATAAAACCTTCATTGTGGAGATTTAACAGATAAAATCGTAAAAATCCTCCATAAGGTTATTTAAATTAAATTATTACAGAATAACCTATCTGAAATAAATATTCCGGTAAATCAGAATGCATATGGAATAGATTAAAGTGTTCTTCTTTAGTCTTTAAGGTTAAAGTTCAAAAGTTTTAAACCATCAATATTCTATAAATTCAGACCCACTTTACCGTTAAACTACAGCAGTTTCAAAATAAAGTTCACAGTAAACAAACCTGCTTTTAAAACAAATTGTTAAAAGTTTATTTTAAAGGCTTCCTCTGTTTTCTCCAACGAATTGAACAAATTCCTGATTGTTTTTTTTTTTTGCATTTGAGGGGGATTTAGCGCAGCAGGACCTAAACCTTGTTTGTGTTCCTTCAGTTTTCGCCTGGTTCCGTTTCTGACGGAGCTGCGAGCCGTGATGGACTGGGTTTGGACCGACACCTCGCTGTCCCTGTCCAGCTGGATCTGTGTGGAGGACATTTACGCTCATATTTTCATCCTGAAATGCTGGAGGGAGTCAGAGAAGGTGCTTATCAGTCGATCAAAACGTTTCCGCCCTCAAGGAGTAGGAGTACTGTATTTTTTGGACTGTAAGGAGCATTGAGCAAAACAAAACAGTCAGATAAGTCAAACTTTATTCATCTCATTCACAATAACTCAACATTGTTCAGTTGTACCACAGAAAATTGGTTTGAGGTCAGTAAGCACAACCAGAATTAATACATAATAAGGCACACCTGATTATAAGGCTCACTGTCGATTTTTGAGAAAGTTAAAGGATTTTAAGTGCACCTTATAGTCCGAAAAATACGGTATTTAATTTATTTTTACTTGACTTGTACTGCCAGTAAGTTACATTTTTGTGTGAACGCTGATTCATCTTTTGTTTATTTTTATTCTATATGTTTTTTGGCCTTATAGTTCAGCATTCTTTGTGTTATTTTAGCCGTTCGTGGAGCAAAACGTTCAGCTCAGTCAAGAGACGGGAGCTGTGGCTTTTAATTTTTGTAACTTTGACTTTTTTTCAAAATATAAACTCCAGTTTACAAAATAATTCCTCAAATAAGTATACCAGGATTGTCTCCGTTACTTTTTGTTTCCAGCCACTGCTTTTATACTTTTAGCTACTTTTTAGTTTTAGCTTGCCTTTTTTCTCCTAACTTTTAGCTATTTCTGTTTGTTATTCTATTAGTTAGCATTTTGTTACTTTCATCTTTAAGTAGCCTTTGGTTACATTTAGCTTTTAGCTTGTGTTTTGTTACTTTTAGCTACACTTTTGCTACTTTATCATTTAAGTATATGTTTGCTGCTTTTATCAAGCATTCTGTTACGTTTAGCTTTTGCTACTTTTAGCTTTAAGCCAGTATTTTGTTACTTTTAGCTTGTGTTCTGTTTCTTTTGCTTTCACTACTCAGCTTTATAGCTTCATAATTATACTGAACATAAATATAAATGCAACTCTTTTGGTTTTGCTCCTGTTTTTCATGAGCTGAACTCAATGAACTGACTTTTTCTATGAGCAAACAGCTTTTTTCTCTCAAATATTGTTCACACATTTGTATAGATAATCTGTGGCAGTGAGCACTTCTCCTGCGCAGAGATAATCCATCCACCTCACAGGTGTGGCATATCAAGATGCAGATTTGACAGCATGATTATTGCACAGGTGTGCCTTAGGCTGACCACAATAAAAGGCCACTCTAAAATGTGCAGTTTTATCACACAGCATGATGCCACAGATGTTGCACGTTTTGAGGGAGCGTGCAGTTATCATACGGACTGCAGGAATGTCCATGATCAGAGAATTTGACAGTACATCCAACCGGCTTCACAACCACAGACCACATGTAACCACTCCAGCCTATGTTCATTGTCCGGAACATAGCCCATACCATAACCCCACCACCACCATGGGCCACTCACTCTATTCACAACGTTGACATCAGCAAACCACTGACGCGCATGACGCCATACACACCACCTGCCCTGCGCAGTGAAAACCGAGATTCATCCGTGAAGAGAACATCTCTCCAACGTGCCATACGCCATCGAATGTTACCATTTGTCCACTCAAGTCCATTACAACGACAAACTGCAGTCCCCATTGAGGACGACGAGCATGCAGATGAGCTTCCCTGACATGGTTCGACAGTTTGTGTAGAAAGTCTTTGGTTATGGAAACTGATCGTTGCAGCAGCTGTCCAGGTGGCTGGTCTCAGACGATGTTGGGAGTGAAGATGCTGGATGTGGAGGTCCTGGGCTGGAGTGGTTACACGTGGTCTGCAGTTGTGAGGCCGGTTGGTTGAGCTCCCAAATTCTCTAAAATGCCTTTGGAGACGGCTTATGGTAGAGAAATGAACATTCAGTTCATGCTGGGCAGCAGCTCTGCAGTCTGTGTGATAACTGCACACTCCCTCAAAACTTGCAGCATCTGTGACATTGTGCTGTGATAAAACTGCACATTTTAGAGTGGCCTTTTATTGTGGTCAGCCTAAGGCACACCTGTGCAATAACCATGCCGTCTAATCAGCATCTAAATATGTGAGGTGGAGGGATTATCTCAGCTAAGGAGAAGTGCTCACTAACAGATTTGTGAACAATATTTGAGAGAAAAAGGACCGTTCATAGAAAAAGTCTTGGAACTTGGAGTTCAGCTCATGGAAACTGGGAGCAAAAACTAAAGTGTTGCGTTTATATTTTTATTAAGAGTATATTTCAGCAGTCATATTTAAGCTCTTTCAGCTCATTCAGTAAAACCTGCGGCTGTTCGTTCCGTCTGTCTGCAGAGATACCCTCAGCCGCGAGGCCAGAAGAAGAAGAAGGTGGTGAAGTACGGGATGGGAGGGATGATCGTGGTTCTGCTCATCTGTATCGTCTGGTTCCCGCTTCTCTTCATGTCTCTTGTCAAATCCGTGGCCGGAGTCGTCAACGCGCCACTGGACGTGTCCGTGGAGATCACGCTGGCCGGCTTTCAGGTGCGGACGCAGCAAACTGTCTTGACTGCAGAGCCAAGGGCTAAAAGATTCTTTCCTCAGCCGTAAAAATGAAAACGTCAGGCTTTTATTAGGATGTGGTGCCCTGATTTTAGAAGGCCCAACATGAGGCCTAAAACTGAGCCCTGTGGTTCATTTTGACCCGAGGGCAGCAGGAGGGTGTACTCGTACCTCCCAAACGTTCAATACAAACTCCATTTTTTTTGTGAAATTATTTATTTGACTCCGTTTATTTCTTTTCGCAGCCCATCTTCACCATGAGCGCTCAACAAAAACAGCTGCAAGGTGTGACCACAGATCAATTTATCAAGTTGAAGAAAGGATTTGTGACGACCGACGAGTCCAGAACGAACGTAAGACCTCAGCTGTTCGGTTCGACAAACATAAACTCCTCTGTATGATAAACAAATTATGTGTTCATAACTATGTTTGGTTTTAAAAATGGCTACTACACTATAATTTAGCTGTATATTATTAACGAGTGGCCACTTTCACAGTTTTTCATGTTAGAAGTCAAATTTCCCTGCGTTGATTTGATTGTTCCGTGTTGTGCAGGAGGCCATGCAGTGGCTGGAGACCTACTTCCCAGAGGATCTGATCATCGCAGACCTGAAAGGCAGCTCCAACTCTCTGTGGACCATCAGCCCCCCCAGCAGAACCAACCTGATTGAAATGTTGGACTCCGACGTGGAGTTCCTCATAACGGTGTCCTGGTCGGTCCAAAGGTAACGCTGCGACAAACGTTACTGAAATATCTTCTGTTTAACATCTCAGCTCTAATTAGTTTCATCTTTAAGGTCGTGTGCTGCAGATGGATTAATTTAAAGCCAAATAATTGGTACATTAGACAAAACTAACTTATTTCATGGACGCTGTCTTAAATTACGAATTTAGCTCTTTTCTTTTCTTTTCCTAGAAAAACAGAATTGAAGCAACAAAAAACAAAAAAATATTCAAAAAGAGTTGTTAAACGAACAAAACCAAGCTTCATTTTTGCTCAAGTTTAATTTGTTTTCATCCTAATTTAGTGAGTAATGCATCAAACGTTCAGGCCTGTGTTCTGACAGTCCAGACTCACCGTCCTCAGACAAGACGTGATGTTATGGCGCCATCTGTCTGTCTGGCGACAATTTCTTCTCCAAGCTCTAAATTGAAAATCCTTTAACAGAGATATGTCAAGCTGCACTGCAGGACACCTCATGGGTCAAAGGTCAAGGCCGCAGGTGACCCCTTTTGCCAGTTCTCCATAAGACAGGCAGACCTCAGTTTAACTCTACTAATGTTTAAGACAGAAAATGTTATCAGACGATTCTGGTCCTAAAATTCTGAAGTTTGTAGTCCTTTCTTCACATCGTAGCTGATAAGATTCATGTTCTTTAATCATACTGTTTGTCAATTTACACCACGGACATTATTATCAGTCAGGTTGACCTTTGACCCCACCACAAACCTTGGACAATTAAATGCTCTTAAAGAGCACAGCAAAAGAGAGCAGACAGACTGATGCTACGGTTACTGAGCCGATCAGCCATGGTGCGTCTGCCCCCTCCTTTCTCTTTCTGAGGCTGTCACTGCAGAGCAGAGACACACAACAGGCGGGGTGCGCACCTGTGTATGTCTCTGCTCTACTGTGACAGCCTCAGAAAAAGAAAGGAGGGGTGGGGTCTGTCCTTCCCCATTGCTACTGCTCAACGGGTCAGGCCACTGGGGAACGTCCCGGTGTTCCCGATGGCCAGTCCGCCCCTCAGCACAATGCTCTGGTTGGTTGCCTTCCATCAGTCAGCCAGTTGTGTGACTCATGTACAATCTTGCTTTGAAAACCTGCGAATGTCGAACCACAGTTTCGAGGGACTACTGTATTCAAAAAGCGTTCAATACAAAAAACGTTCAATACAAGAGGGGCTACTGTGTGTGTGTATGTATGTATGTATGCATGTATGTATGTATGTATGTATGTATATATATATATATATATATATATATATATATATAGATATGTGTGTGTGTGTGTGTGTGTGTGTGTGTGTGTGTGTGTGTGTGTGTCAGAATCGGAATCAGAATGCCTTTATTGTCATTATACGCAAGTACAATGAAATTAAGAGCCACTCCTTTTTTCAGTGCAAAAACATGCTTAAGAAAAACACAAAAAAAAATGTTAAAAAAAATGTAACGCAACATAGATATAATAGCACTATGAAAGTAACAAAATACAAGTATTTCACAATTATATTGCACATTATATGGATATTAGTGAGGTAGTTAAGGTGATTGAGAGTATGAAATGTCAGTAGTATTGCACAGTAGAAGTCCAGGGGAGGTTAGATTATTAAATCAGTGCATATGTGAGTTCAGTGTGGTGATGGCTTTAGGGAAAAAACTGTTCTTGAATTCGTTTCAAGAATAAATAAATATATATATATATATATATATATATATATATATATATATATATATGTGTGTGTGTGTGTGTGTGTGTGTGTGTGTGTGTGTGTGT